CAGTACATGTCGTACCCCAGAGCAGGCCTCTTGGCTGCTAGGGGCTTAGGCCACTCACGTGTCGCGTAATGGACGAACGTGTCCATCCGCGGGCACAACGTGGGTCGCATCCTCCTCCTTCCTCGAGTGGTGGCACCCACCGAGGTGAAGTCCTCCACCGTCTGGATCTAGTGACGACGTCCGACGCCGGAGGGCGAAGGGAACTCGGACGAACAAGGAAGACATCTCAGAATGAAGTAAGTACTGTGGTAGATCTCAAACGGCGCCAGAGTGAAAGAGGGGGTGCGGCCTTGTGCAGGGGCATTTATAGAGGAGGGTGGCTGGTGATTGGAGCAAATTATTTTGATCTCTCTGGCGTGTGACCTGGGGGTCACGTGATATCCCACTAGCGAAGTCCTAAGGGACGTAGCACCATGACGTAGAACCTACAGCTTTAATAAAGATAGGATTTTGTGGGGATTTTAGTGTCCCTTGTCATCCTGAACTTTTTTTCTTCTTAAATCCTTCGGTTTTGTTTAAATCCACACTTTAGTGCCACAAACTCTGCTCCTCTGGCTCTCGCTCTAACTCCCGCTCTGATGAACTGCTCTGATTGGTCAGAGCGCGGCCGAGCCCCTCTGTGCACGTGCGTAAGACCTGGTGTGAGACCCACACACGCGTGTTTGACGCAACGCATTATGGGAGATCATCCACTGCACAGAACCGGGAGGACCAGACGATGCCCAAATACAGGCGAGTTTCCCATAGATCTTTGCGAGTTTCCCAAAGTTCTTTGCGAGTTTCATAGATCTTTGCGAGTTTCAGGCTTCCGCTAATCTTTTCAGCCCCCATGCCGTCACAAAGTGCCACTGAGCACAACCATTCATTTGAATAGGGCGCCATCTTGAATCGCCGGGGCTTGCTATGACCTTAGGGGTATGTGGCAAGGCATACAGGCCATCAGTGACTATAAAGCTAAGAAATCTAGTCCCACTGTTACAGACGCTTCCTTTCTGAACGAGTTTAATGAGTTCTACACTGATAGGCCTAATCCTCAACAATTATGAAACTGCCTACAGAGCGGAGATCCAGCATCTGTCCACCCGGTGTGCTGACAACAACCTGCACCTCAATACCAGCAAAACAAAAGAACATAGTGGAGTAGAGAAGGAGAACACAACCCCATCTACATCAATGGGACGGCGGTCGAGAGGGTTCACAGTTTCAAGTTCCTGGGAACCCACATATCTGAGGACTTGTCCTGGACCATCAACATCCAGCTTCGTCAAGAAGGCCCACCAGCGCCTTTTCTTCTTGAGGACTCTCAAGCAAAAAGGGGCAGCCCACTTTTAATGTGTGGCGAAATGCCGGGCCACTTTACCGCGGTGAAAAACACGAGAAATGGATTTTCACCACGGACCCTTCTTGAGTGAAGGGTCCCGGGTTTTCTATGAAGTAAGAATAAATGTCTCTGAGTCCCAGTCCCAGCAGATCGGTGCCAAAACACAGGTGAGTCTGACCAATGTTTTCTCTCGTCATCCCAGGTCTCATCTGGGCTTTGGATTTGTTCAGTTCGGTCTCATATACTTATTTTTAGCTTGTCTTTCTATCTCCTCTGATCTTCTTGCGCTAAAGTGCTTATATAAAGTGCTATTTGCCCACTGAGTCTTTTAAAAGTACTCTCGAATCCATGCTTCAGTATGGGCCGCTGTCTTTCTGCCACCCTTGAGAAGGGCGCATGCGCACGCAGGTGTGAACAAAGATCCTCCTTTATCGCCACTCCCACTCGGAGCATGTTCACAGGGAGTGGAAAGCAGGTCTCCGAAACTACAAGAATGCCCTTCGCAGGGCTTGAACTCAATACTACTCAACTTTGATAGAAGCATATAAAAACAACAGTAGATTTTTGTTTAGCACCGTCGCTAAACTCACAAACTGCCATAGCGCAATCGAGCCTAAAATACCAAGCTCACTGAGCAGTGTCAAGTTTCTCCATTTCTTTAATGTTAAAATTACATCCATCCGTGACAAACTGGAGGAGGCTACTCCTGTAGTTGGTAGTGGACAGGCTGAAGCATTGCACTTGATTTCCCACCTGGGTTCTTCAGTGTGCCTCAAAAAGTTCTCGGCTGTGAGCCAAGAGGAAGTGATCTCTGTGGTCACATCTTCCAAAGCCTCAACTTGCATTTTAGAAACAATCCCGGCTTGGCTCTTTAAAGACACACTTCCTTTGATAATATAGAGCCAATCTTAAACACAATAAACGCGTGGCTATGTCCCACAAGCTTTTTAAACCGCTGTAATCAAACCCCTTCTGAAGAAAACAAACCTGGACCCAGAAATACTTACAAACTACAGACCTCACTTTCATATCCAAAAATCTTCCAAAAAGCTTATAGCTGAACAGCTTTGCTGCCACCTACAGGAAAATAATATGTTTAATCAGGATTCAGAGCTCATCATAGCACTGAAACAGCTCTAGTCAAAGTCACAAATACTCGGTACAAAGCGCCTGCGTGACCCCCTCGCTGACCAGATAATCACTCTCGATAATGTCAGCGTTGTGCCCAATTACACTGTGAGGAATCTTGGGAGGCATTTTTGACAAAGAACTCTCCTTTAAGGCTTATATAAACCAAGCAACTAAAACGGCATATTTCCACTTAAGGAACATCACTGAAATCAGGAATATCCTAAAAGTGACGCGGAAAAACTAATCCATGCCTTTGTCACCTCAAGGCTCGACTACTGTAACGCTTTGCTGGCAGCATGCCCTAAAACCTCTTTGAAGAGCTTCCAGCTTGTTCGAAAATACAACAGTAAGAATCTTAACAGGCCCAAAAGGAGGGAGCACATAACTCCGGTGTTAAAATCACTCCACTGGCTTCTGTGGAGTACAGAATAAAGTTTAAAATTCTTCTCTTGGCATACAAAGCCAAAAATGGCTTGGCTCCTTCTTATCTCCAAGACATGTTAATGTCTTATCAACCAAGCTGAGCACTGCGCTCGCAATACGCCAGACGTCTGGTGGTCCCTAAGGTTTCAAAAAGCACTGTCGGTGGCAGAGCATTTAGATAACTAAATGTTAGAGAGCGTCATCTGTCACCTCCAGTCTCTCTCCCTAAAACCTTCAAACAAGGTCAGAAATCTAGGGGCAATACTGGACTCAGACTTAAATTTTAATAGCCACATCAAATCAGTAACATCAGCAGCTTTTTACCATCTAAAAAACATTGCCAGGATCAAAAACATAGTGTCTAAAGCAGACCTGGAGATTCTTATCCATGCATTTGTCTCCAGTAGGTTAGACTACTGCAATGGCCTGCTCACAGGTCTGTCCAAACAGGCTGTAAAACAGCTGCAGTACATTCAAAATGCAGCAGCTCGAGTCCTGACAAGAACCAGGAAGTACGACCATATTAGTCCTGATTAGAACCAGGAAGTACGACCATATTAGTCCTGACTAGAACCAGGAAGTACGACCACATTAGTCCTGATTAGAACCAGGAAGTACGACCATATTAGTCCTGACTAGAACCAGGAAGTATGATCGCATTAGTCCTGACTAGAACCAGGAAGTACGACCACATTGGTCCTGACTAGAACCAGGAAGTACGACCACATTAGTCCAGTTCTCAGGTCTCTGCACTGGCTTCCTGTGGCTCAGAGAATAGACTTTAAAACAGCTCTGCTTGTTACAAGTCTCTCCATGGCCTCGCACCAAAGTATATTAGTGACATGTTAGTCCCATATGAACCAGCCCGGACTCTGAGGAGCACAGGGACTGGACTCCTGCTGGGACTCTGAGGAGCACAGGGACTAGACTCCTGCTGGGACTCTGAGGAGCACAGGGACTGGACTCCTGCTGGGACTCTGAGGAGCACAGGGACTGGACTCCTGCTGGGACTCTGAGGAGCACAGGGACTGGACTCCTGTTAGTGCCCAGAGTCAGAACTAAACATGGGGAGGCTGCTTTTCAGATTCATAAAATCTGGAACAGTCTTCCTGAAGATGTGAGACAGGCCTCCTCTCTGACAATGTTTAAAACCAGGTTAAAGACAGTTCTGTTTAGCTGTGCATACAACTGAGGGATTTTATATTTTGCACTTTTTGAGTTGCCTCGTGTATGAATTGTGCTATACAAATAAACTTGCCTTGCCCCCTATCTCAGCCGCCACATGTAGGAGTTCTCCCAGATGAATGAGAGGGTCGCGTCCCTCCGCCTCCGGGTGGGGGACAAGTCTCTCACTGTTGTGATTGGGAAGAACGGCCCTGATCTGAACTCGAGCGGTTTTCAGTTGTTGGACTTCTGTGCTAGTCACGGTTTGTCCATCACCAACACGATGTTCCAGCACAAGGGTGTCCACCAGGGGGCGCCAGGACCTGAGGCCGTTGTTGTCGTATCATCTGACCTTCGGCCGCGTGTCTCGGACACTCGGGTGAAGAGAGGGGCGGAGCTAAAGAGAGGGGTGGAGCTGTCAACCGACCACCACCTGGTCGTGAGTTGGATCCGCTGGCGGGGGAGGAAGCCGGTCAGACCTGGCAGACCCAAGCGTGTAGTGAGGGTCTGCTGGGAACGTCTCGCTGAGCCCCCTGTCAGACGGACTTTCAACTCACACCTCCGGGAGAGCTTCTCCCAGGTCCCGGCGGAGGAGAGGGACATCAAGTCTGAGTGGCTCATGTTCTCTTCCTCTATCGCCGATGCGGCGGCTCGTAGCTGTGGTTGCAAGGTCTCTGGTGCTGGTCCCGGCGGCAGCAGAACCCGGTGGTGGACAGGCTCTGGGAGTGGATGAGATCCGTCCTGGATGTTGTAGGTCTTGGCTGACACGTCCCTGCAACATTGCGTGGCGATCGGGGGCGGTGCCAATGGAGTGGCAGACAGATATGCCACACCAGAGGAGACCCAAAGTGTCGGTTGAACGTTTTAGAAATAAATATTTGTTGATGATATTGTTGCTGTAGTAACCCAAGCTCTAAAGATTACAATGAGACCGAGTACATGGAGAGGGAAAGAACTGTACCTTTGTCAGTGTCAGAACAGTCCTGATGTAGAAGTGTCTCTGCAGCTTCATAAAACTCCTGCAAACAAACAAGTCCAACGTTTGGTCATGTTTCCACTGAGAAGCACACATTACTGCAGCTGAACACACTAACCTCCTCCTCTTCTTCCCCCTTCTTCTCCTCTTCTTTTATCTTGTCTTCTTCCTCCTCTTCTTTCTTCTCTTTTTCCTCCTTCTCATCCTGCTCTTTTTCCTTCTTCTCTTCTTTCTTCTCCTCCTCCTCCTCTTCTTTCTCCTCTTCTTCCTTCTTCTCTTCTTTCTTCTCCTCCTCCTCCATCTCCTCCACTTCTTCCTCCTTCTCCTCCTCTTCTTTCTTCTCTTTTTCCTCCTTCTCATCCTCCTCTTTTTCCACAACTTCTTTCTCCTCCTTCTCCTCCTGTTCTTCCTTCTTCTCTTCTTTCTTCTCCTCCTCCTCCTCTTCTTTCGTCTCCTGCTCTTCTTCCTCCTTCTCTTTTTCCTCCCCCTTCTCTTCTTTCATCTTCTCTTCTTCCTTCTCCTCCTCTTCTTCCTCCTTCTCCTCTTCGTCCTCCTTCTCATTCCTCCTCTTCTCTGCTTCCTCCTTCCTCCTCCCTTTCCTCTTCCTTCTCCTCCTCCTCCTTCCTCCTCTTCCTCCACCTCCTTCATTTTCTTCCTCCTCCTCCTTTTCCTCTTCTTCCTTCTCCTTCTTCTCCCCCGCCTCCTTCCCCTCCTCCTCCTTCTCCTCGTCTTCCTCCTTGTCCTCCTCCTTCTCCTCGTCTTCCTCCTTCCCCTTCTCGTTCTCCTCCTCCTTCCTCCTGTGGTCATCTCTCGCAGACATTGTTCACGCCCTCCTGTGTCGTTGCTGCTTCACTAGAATACATATGTAAATAAATACATAATTAAAGATAAAGAACCTAAGTTTAAACTCCACAAAATAAAAATCCATATAACTAGTTCCTACTTAAACCGTTTTCTTCACTTGTTCTGTGACGTGACCTCTGAAAAAGAGTGAACTACCTTCACTCAGCCCAAAGGGACAATAAGTGACTCACAGGGCTCTTGCTTACAGGTACACCACACTGAAGACATGTCACAAATGTGTTCACAAAATGTCTAAAACATGGAACAGTATTATGGAGCTTTTATTGTTTCAATAATATGTGTGTGTGTGTGTGTGTGTGTAACCAGATCTGTGTGCGTGAAAACAAAGTCTACGTTTTACAAAAGTCCTTTTTTTTTACACATAGATCATTTACACATTTTGACACAGTCCTGTCTTCGCAGATTCGTAAGTGTAACTTGGACTGTGTGTGTGTATTCTCAGATGTGTGTGTGTTCTCAGATGTGTGTGTGTTCTCAGATGTGTGTGTGTTCTCAGATGTGTGTGCGTAAATTGAACGAGAAGCTGTTCATGCACAAATCTTTTGACGCACTGCTGCGTCATTGTCTCCAGAAAATCACATGTGGTTGTTCTACCACTGCACCAGTAGATGGTGCTGTTGTAGCCGATTACTACACACAACAAACTCTCACCTGCACAAAATAAGGATAATAAGCAGCAGAATGTGTCTTCCTCAGAAAGTCACTTTTTATTATTTACGGTGGAAATCATGGCTCTCTGCCATAGGAATGCAACACACTTTAAAGAGTTTTTATGTCTGTGGAAAATCTTCTATCATATTAATTGCAAATGTATTGTGTACATTTTTCAAACACAGCAAAGCCAAATGTGCAAGTTCTATTTTTAAAGAATAAAAAATGAATAACAGAGGATTTATTTGAAGAGAACTGTGGCTACACTTCTTTATCCTGTTCAAGCGTCTTCAATACGCTTCATCCCTGACACGCCCAAAAGATGAATTTCTGGAATTTGGTTTCTGTTCCAGGAAACAGGGCGCGTCACTTTCTTCTGCTTCGGTTTTTGTCTAAAGCCAATTTTTAATCAACATCACTGCAGTAAAAAGTCAAAAGCGGGTGTAACCCAGATATATTTTGATAGTCTTTAAATATTTTTTAAAAATATAATGATATTGTTCATGTAATTTAAAATATCATTACATTTAAAATCATGTTTTTACCTGTGAAATAAAATGTTTTGTCAAGTCTCGCGAGGCTTGGGGCGAGACTTTGGGTCTGAGATTTGCGCGCCGCCATTTTGAATATAGCCGGCTGCTTAGCATTTGTGGTTAGGTGTGTGGGAGATGCTGCATTAAAGACCTTATGACGGGTTTGATTTATTTAGAAATACAGTTTTAATACCATTTTATATTAGAAGAGAACTACTAAAGGTTTCAAAATCAGTTGCTGTTTTTTTGTCTGATCCCCCCAAATCGAAATAACCCCATAGCAACGCCCTTAGAAACGAAAAAACTTCACAGTCCTTGGTGACGTCAGAACGGGTACGTTTCAACGCTGTAAGTTGTTTACAATTTGGTATTCATCCTTTTTTCGCGGATATTCAAGATGACAAGGCCGTGTACAGCGAGTCTAAGATAACTACTAGAATGTAATATCTGTTGTCACTGAGATAGTCCAGTGGTTTTGTCAATGGACTGCCAATCCAGATACTTGGGTTCAAATCCCACCTCAGACACTTTTTCACACTCAAAACGACAATTTATGTGTAGTGAGCAATTGTCACCTGTAGAGTGCAGTATTGTGTTGGGCATCAGTGGAGAGAAGAGAGAAAAGGCAGTCCTGTGGCATAGATCCATGGTTTTCAATGCATGGGCGTTACCCGCTGTGACGTCACACACAGGTTAGAGCATAGACAGCTTAAATTCATGAAAAACACGTTCTTTTTATAAAATATAGGATTTTTTTGCCGGAATCTCTTTCAGATTGACATTGTCATGCAATTTTGATATCCACTATTTTTGTTTTTAAAACCCGTCATAAGGTCTTTAAGAACTGCTACAGCAGAGGTTACATTAACTGAAAATTCTCCGTCATTGACGGATTTTTTTTTTTCTGACGTAAAATTTGGAAGGCCGTCCGTCATTTTGAAGGATTGAAAATTAAGTTGTAGTTGACCGTCCTCTCCACTAGATGGCGCCAGCGCCGTTTATATGATACAGGCTGTCACATGTCATATTTGACAGCTAGCAGTCATTAGCAAAAATGTCAAATCAGTTGAGCCTAAAAGATTTTTTTCAGCAATCTGCTTCAGCTCAAAATAATAACAGCAGGGGACAAAAAAGACCCCCTTCATTTGAGGAGGACAATGAAGACACCATTCAACATCCGTCGGTTTCACCCCCTCGTCCACCGGACTGAGGCGCCAAGGAAACCCGAAGGGAGTATCGGTCACAGTGGGAGCAAGAGTTCACATGGCTAACCATGAAAGATGGAAAAATGTATTGTCAAATTTGCCAAGAAGCTAAAATGAGCAACGGCTTTATCCGTGGTTGTCCCACTTTTCAAAAATCATCATTAAATGACCACAAGAAAAGCTTAAGCCATAAGGAAGCATCTCGTATTTTGAACCAAAGTGTAGCTATGGAGAAGCATGTGTCGCAGTCACAGGCAGCTTGTAACGAGGCTCTGAAAACCCAACTGAAAGTTGTACTTCACATGGCGAACACCAATACACCAAGCCACCTTTACCCAAAAATAATAGAACTATTACAGTCCACTGGCTGCCCAAACTTAAACGCTGCACACGTGTACACTCACAACCAAAGTGTGAACGAAATGGAGGATGCGATAGCTCAGACCATAAACAACACTGTTAATGACCGCATCGCTGACAGCAGATTCGTTGGCATAATACTGGATGAAACCACGAATATCACAGTGGACAAAATGCTGATAATCAACCTAACATACCAACTAAAGGGAGAGCCTGAAACTAATTTCCTTGGAAATTATGCCATGTCCTCTGGCACCGCAGGGGTCGTGGTGTGGCTCTGGATCGCGTGGTGGGACTGGGAAGTGATGGGGCGAATGTGATGGTGGGTCGAAAAGCTGGAGTTGCTCAACAGTTACGCCAAGATGACTGCCCTTATCTCCTGAACATACACTGTGGTGCGCACAGAACAGCACTGGCAGCCCGTGACGCATCCAAAGCCGTGCGTCAAGTCAGTGCCTATGTGACAACTCTGAACAACGTGTACACTTACTACAAAAACTCTCCTATACGCACACATAGACTTCACCAACTACAACTGGAAATGAATGAAGGTGACGCGCTGAGTTTAAAACAACCATGCGCTACGCGTTGGCTGTCCCTGGAGAGAGCGGTGAAAGGCATTCGTGCCAACTGGGCATGTGTGGTCATGGAGTTGGAAGAAGAAGCTGCGAATGGTTGCCCGATTGCAAAAGGTTTACACAAACAACTCCTGAAGCATGCATTCCCTGCGTTAACTCACCTGCTTGCTGATTTCTTGGCTACTGTAAACCGAATGAATCTCACGTTTCAAAAAGAGGACGTAAACATATCCTCTATTCAGCCCATTGTGAGCATGACCCTCGCCAATCTGGATGACTTCGAAAAAGGCCTCGGGGATGTGGAGAAAAAGTTTGTTGAGGGCTTTCGAGAGGGCATCTTCTGTGGTCATCGGCTCACTCATGTGGATGAACACGGCTTCTCCGCCTTACGAGCGCAGTATATTGGTGAGATTATGAAGTCAATTAAAAAGAGATTCCCTTCTGGGGATGTGAGCCACATTTCTGACCTCGACACTGTCCTCAACGCCTCTCGTTTTCCGAACACGAACAGCGCGCTGCAGGAGTACGGCTTGGATGCTGTCGAGCGCCTTGCTGACTTTTATGGCGCGCACCCAAACGCAGCGGTCTCACTCGTTGAAAAGGAAAGGATGGTACGGGACTTTCGCTCCGTGAAACGTGTGCTTGCAGGTTCAGGTAACCCGCCATTTAAGGACTCCTGTAAGCTTCTCATCAACACATACGCGGAGATGTTCCCAGACTACAAAACTCTGGCCGAAGTAGCGCTTGTTATTCCTGTGTCAAGTGTTGCTGCTGAGCGCGGCTTCAGTCTCCAAAATAAAATCAAAACTGCACTTCGAAGCCGTCTGACCGAGACAAAAACACAAACTCTAATGACAATCGCCTCGGTGTCGCCAGCCCTGCACACATTCAATTATGAACAGGCGAGTGCTCAGTTTAAGTCCACAAAGCCGCGAAAGAAGGTTTAATAACCGCATTCAGGCAAACTCCTGTACGTGTTTGTTCCACATGTTAATGCAGGTTAAATGTTACGCAGAGTTGTCGATTGTTTTGCGATTTTTATGCAACTTTATATATTCACAAATTAAAACATCTAATAAAGCACGTTATAAAGCCTGTTTTTGTTTATACAATTGTTTAATTAATAGCCTATAGGGTATTTCAAACGTGAAAATAAAATGACGGATAAAAATAGCTCATGACGGATTTTTTTGGACCCTGTCCTTCATTATGACGGGCTGAAATGATCTCTAGCGAAACCACTGTGCTACAGGTAAACATTTACCTCTCTAACTCGCTACCTCTGCCAAATCAAAGATCAGTTCCTAAAACGTTGTCCTCCCAACCTTTTACAGATTCATGTGACCGCAAAGTTGTCTTTGCTGCGTATATGTGTGTGTGTGTGTGAAGAAGGAATCGGTGAGTGCAATGACCCGAGTCCGGACTAGCCTAGCTTAGCCGCTAACTCGCTACCCCTATGGCTGCCGCTGTCTCTCCCTCGGTCCTTTACTGCTCGAGTTGCCATATGACGAGTTTAAACCCTGGATCCTCCTCTGATGGCAGTGATAGATGTGTTAAGTGTAGTATTGTAGTAGCTTTGGAATCCAGGGTTAGTGAGTGAGCTGAGTCTCGAGCTAGCGCTAGCATTAGCTATAGCCTAGCAGTATCCTCGGACATGCAGCCCTCCTCCTCTGCTACACAGGCTGCTGTTGCTACAGGTATGTCCCATTCAGATTGTACAGAGCAGTCAGCACCATTGACTTCAGTTTCCGAGTCATACTTTTAAGACATAAGCATTTTCAAAAACTAGTCGTGCTGTGCTGAATTTTCTATTAAACACTTGCTCTGGTATTATAATAAATCCATGCACCGCACCAGTACTAGTTACGCGTCACACGTAAATGACGTGGTCTGACAACGCTGAGGACATTCTGGGGGTACTATTTTTGATGGAAAAGCACGCGAACTGGGCCATGGCGCGCCGTGTAGAGTCAAAACGTACCGTACTAGGACTGTGGAAAAGCGGCATAAGAGGCCCTATCGGACTCTGAGCGTGAACTCTGTGGATGGAAAGAGCGATTGGTTACTTGTTTTTGGTTTTGTTTTGGTTTGTAAATATTCAAGTGCACTTGAGCCTGTAAATATTGTAAAAACCCCTTCTTCAAAATATCAATAACACAAATAATTTGCGAGCATCCCAGTTGTCTTGAGTATTTCATACGCACTATCATTTCCTCCCAGAGAGAACTTATTTTTCTAGTCTTAGTCATATTACATTTTACAAAGAAAGTTACTATATTACCGATATAATCAGTAACTCTTATGCACATACGTGTTACACAGAGGATTTGCCAAGTGTCACTAACACTCGCTCACTCAGATAAACAAGTCTGAACAAGTTCAGAACAACCTCTTTGCATTCCTTTCACACAGATATGGGGGAAAACCTGTTGTGTTGTATAATATTTCTAAATGTACAACAGCTGAAGCCATAATGAGTGACTGGATCATGTTGAAGGTACAGTGTGTTGGAGATGAGTGGAAAGGACAGTAATGTGTGGAAGAGAGTGAGGTAGTTTCATCACACTTTCACACCATTAATACACTTTGAGTTTGAGACCTATTCTGGTTAAAACACTCAATAACTGAAAATATAAATAGAATAAATCAGATCTCCTCATCCTCATCCTTTCTTCCTATTTTGGAGGTTCCCTAAAAAATTGAAACATCTACTCATAATATTTTGAGTTACTGTATGCTGCAATCCAATTAAAAAGAGAAAATAATCAATAATCTCCCAAACAAACTGAGAATAACATAAAAGGTTCTAGTCATGAGGACTAGAACCTTTTATGTTGGATCTGAAGGAAAAGGTTAAATGTAGAAGAGAAGAAAGTTCTCTGTGCAGAAAAACTCACCACAGTCGAGAAGTGTCTGACGCTGCAGCTTCAGTGAGACAGAGTCGGGTTAGCTGCTTTATATAAAACAATACTTTCACTTTCCATATATGGGCACAAGCAGACAGTCCAGTGAGGTGCGGGCAGATGAGGCGGGTGAGGCGGGTGAGGCAGGTGAGGCAGGTGAGGCTAACATCATGGAAAGAAAAATATGATAAAATGGAAACAAAAATACATGGTCACAATATGGCCTCGGGGGGGCGCTTGTGAGCCCACATTTTGGCTGCATCCAATTTCATCAGAAAGCTCCTTTCTTGTTCTTCCTCTGCTAAGGGCAGCTACAGGTTCGGCTAAAATACATGTAACACATTTTCAGCTGATTTAAAATCCACTTAGGGTAATATTATGCTTCCAATGAGGATAGGAATGATACTGAAGAGAGGTGAAGGTTAAGAAGGTTAATTTAAGCCAGCGAAACACTCTGGAGTCTGTGGAGGAAACATCCGTTTTGTTTTACTTTTTAAAAATCATTGGACTTATCTCCAAATGGAAGATTACATATATACGCTCAAACAAAGCCACTGAAAATGGTGTAGAAGCCGCTCTGTAGGTCCTGTGGATACGATATATATGTACATCTGATTGGGATGAAGTCAGTGCCTCATCAATCACAAACCCTGACCAAAAGAATCAAAGAACTAAGCTCTCTCTCTCTCTCTCTCTCTCTCTTTCTCTCTCTCGCTCTTTCTCTCTTCTCTCTCTCTCTCTTTCTCTCTCTCTCTCTCTCTCCTCGCCCTCTCTCTCTCTCTCTCTCTCTCTCTCTCTCTCTCTCTCTCTCTCTCTCTCTCTCTCGCCCTCTCTCTCTCTCTCTCTCTCTCTCTCTCTCTCTCTCTCTCTCTCTCTCTCTCTCTCTCCTCGCTCTCTCTCTCTTGCTCTCTCTCGTTCTCTCTTGCTCTCTCTCTCTCTCTCTCTCGCTCTCTCTCGCTCTCTCTCTCTCTCTAATAATCCAATAAAGTCTTTATTGCACCTTTGCAAAAGAGGATAAAATTACACCTATGTATTTCAGCCTTCTAGCCTGGAATTGTTTGGGTCACTTTCTCGCTTGGTACTTCCAAATAAAGTTTATTTATTTAAAAACGGATCCCTCTGCTTTCTACGAGTCTCTATCACAAAATATGTTTTAAGTTGAATTAAAGATGCAGTCAATGATTAATCCAGACGTAATTTTCAATAAAAACGTCCCTAAACCCCAAAAGTAGTCAAGTTATCATGTTTTTTCAAAAAGGAATGGACTCTATCAGATGTAGCCTCAAAAAAAGAAAATCAGATAGAAAGCACTTTTTGTTTGTGCATCTGAGTCAGATTTTCTAAAACACCTACAATGGCCCAACCAAAAACTCAGCAATTTTACAACTTGCCTCTTGCAAAGAAGAGAACCTCCGTCTCGGGACGCAGCCAGGGCTCTGCAATGCAACGGCAGTCGAGTTTTGATAATCGCTATTTTTTTGGGGAAGCTAGCTTTTGTCAGGTACAGCTCACAGACTTTGGTTTAATGTAGTATACAGTAGGTCCCATTTCGTTTTGTCGCCTTTCACGCGTGAATAGCACGAGGCTCACGCGCGAATCACGTGTCTTTTCTTTTTTTTCCCCCCAGTGACGCTGCAATGACCAAAACAACCACCAGGTGGCACTTGTGAGCAGGGTTACATTGGCGTCTCATCGCTCTTTCTTCTCTCTTCACCGGACAACTACAGTATCTGTGGCTTTAAGCCTAGCGTACTGTACATCGGACTGATTATATCCGTCGCCTACTGTATGAGTTTCTGCCCCGCGCACATCGACAATCTGGTTAAAACGGGCAACTCCTTGTAGCAGGCCAGTCTCTGGAATAACCCGCAGACATTAAAACTACTGCATATAACGTAAACTTTTGCATCACGTTGGTGATCTTTCCAAAAAGAGAGAATATCGTTATGGAAAGAGAAACTATTGGTAATATAACGCTGAACGTTATCTGACTCAAACAGCTCCGCTGGTGTCTCCTCCCACTCAGAAAAAAAGCAGACGCCTTTTCTCTGGCATCTCTAACATTTATAATAAATACATAAATATAACAATCATAATGAAGATGCTTTCAAATAATTTAGCAAGCTGTAATTCATTTATTTTAACTCCACACGGCTCCTCCCCTGCCAAACTTCTCTCGCTGCTCTCTCCTCCGCAAACCACTAAATGAGGAAAAGGGAATATTCACTCAATCTATTTTGAATGTTACACAATATTAATATAGTCTAAGCACGTGTAACACATGTAGCCCGTGTATTTACCACAGACTGTAAGTATTAAAGTAATGAGGCCTGTCAGGGATGAAGCAGACAGAGACGGATCGTGGTGCGCCAAACTCTGGAAGTTTATTTAAGTTTCTCTCAAGTTCCACTGGTTTACTCTGTTTCTTTCTCTCAGACAGAATAAAGGCAGTACACAGTTTATATAGTCATTGTCACGTCACACATGGAAAGACATACGTGTCACAAAGAGACAGTCACATCATAGTCATAACATGGAGTCCTTGTAGAGTCCTTGTACAGTCCTGCACGTAGGCCATATTGCTATCTAATACTAACACCCTCCCCTTTGATCACATAATCACATGTGATCACTCAAATCGATCAATCAATAAAGTGGAGAAAGAGAAAAAAAAAAATCTAAAAAAAAAAAATCTTTTAAAAATTATT